ACTGTCTATACATCCCACTATCCACATGGGTTATTAATGGTTATTAATTTAATGGATTATGACTTTAAATTTCGTGCACTCTTACCGAAAAGTACGTACAACGCATGCACATGTGATCACAGAGCATAAACGTGTAAGTAAAGGCCGCACAAACGTGTAACTAGTCACTTTCATCGCTGTTTTACGGGCTTCCTTTTGTGATTAGGACAAAAATGTGTAGAATCTTTTTTATAGAGAATTTCATGCTCTACAATTTTTGTTTGAAACATTTTTTTGTACGATTCGTATATTTCGAAATAAATGCAAGAAACTTAAAAAAATGTCGTTTTTCAGCTGTTTTTTCAAGATTGCGGCCAAGATACGGCCGAGCGCCAATTTCTGCTGCCATATTCGTTTTCAGGAGCCAAAAATACATCAAAAACACGTGGTCGTTTGTATGATTTCGAATATGCAGTTCATCCGAAGGTTTACCGAATGGACATGTTAAACATAATGGATGATTCATTTGATGAGTTTCAATTATCAAATTCTTATAAGATGATCCTAATTTGTAATGAATAAAATATAAAGTAAATGCAATTAACTTATTAACTTTTTATAAAACTTATTAATAAAACGATGAATCGCAATAAAGAATCTGCATTACTTACATCATCAAAAGTTGGGACAGATAAATGGAATATCTTTCCTATGGTGATCTTAATTACGTTATTTGAGCAATAATTGAGCAATAATCAAAACGCGATCACATGTGCAGTTTTGTGATGTAAATGATATCAGTCATATATGTCATTCCTGCACATATTTGCACTAATAAATTGTTATAAAATTAAAATTATCTATGAGTAATGAATACAATTTAATAATTTAGATAATTACATAATGTGTTTAGAAAAACAGAAATATTCAAATTTGTTAAAAATGAAGTAATTTTATTTTAGCATTTTTCTTGATTAATGTAATAGCATTATATTTTACACTTTTTAAAAATATATTGACTGAATTATTAATAAATATCACAATTCAATAGTTTCTCTAATTTCATCACATTTTAATTCTCAACATTTCTTACCTGTTTTGTGATAATTCCTCGCTGTAGCAAAATTTAAAAATGTTGAAACTCATCGATAATTACACAGTGAGGGAAAATGTTATTTTTCCTGTATCAAGTTCCCAACTCTACGCAGTGTGAAGAATTTGTATTAAATTCAACACACGTGTCCAGCAATCCATTTAAATTTTTATATGAATATAACACAAGATGGAATATGATTATGATTAGAAAGCAATGCAAATATTATGTAAAACATTAACACAAGAAATAAAACACTTTGATATAGTTTAAAAGCAAATTGTAGAAGCATATATCTTAAGTAAAATTAATATTTGTAAATTAAATTAACACGCTCATTTTATTTTAGAATTTACGTTTTAAAAATGTATTGTCATTATTTCTTCTCTTATTCAAAATTGTTTTTTAATACTGAAAAATGTTGAACATCAATATTTAACACAATATTCAAACAAAACAATTCATTCAATAACACAATCATTTTATGTTAAATTAACGTGTTAAAAATTGAATATGTTAATTCAAGACAAGCTTTAATAATGATTTTAACACAAATATATAACATCTTTTACTACGATGAAATTAAAATATTAGACTTATCTTTATCATATTACATATTGTTTTTAATACATGTTTTCTAACAGAATAGAACAGTTTGGTTTCTCATGAATAAATTTATGTATCTAATAAGAGCTTCATTTTCTTACGTCTCTAGTGTAATAACGCGTGATACCCAAATAAGCACATAATTATTGTGGTTAATTTCAGAAGAGATATTTTATGTATAATACTTTCTAATCACGATATGAAACCGAAATGTATGAATGCATCACAGTAGAATTTTTTTTTAATAAGTTATTATCACATTTTGAATTGATACTCTTTATATATAAATTCATTTAAATAATTGATTATGAGATTTTCATAAAGCTCTAGAAGACGTGTATTTTTTAATGAGTACTTACGTATGAAATATCTCAATATTTTCAGATGATGTTCTACGAGTAGCCAGTTTTCGTTCAGCTGTATCATTTCCCTTATGCTGATTTTCGACAGTTCACGTAGCGTCAGCACGTTCAATTGTCCACTGGCATGAATCACAAAAGACAGCAGCGAGACTGCCAACACCGACAATAGATGAACACTATAAATATTGATAGAAACTGTACAACCAACACAATTTCATTCACAAGATTGGCTTTTATATCGATGATTTTGTTGTAATTTAGACACGTCATCGGATACATCTTAAGTTTCGTTGCCGACAATGATAGATATGGTTTTGATCGTCCTGACTATGCTAAACAGAAATGTATCGCCATGCATGATTATTGCACAAATCGTGACGATGAAACGACCGTACTTAACTTGTTGCAGCATCACTTCAAGTTTGTCTATTCTTTGTATGAAACTCCAATGCATGTATTATATTAATTTGGATGTTACTTTTGCACTTGAGCAGCACTCCATAATTTATCCAAGTCCCATAATCCTGTCAAGCAATGGCGAAACGACACTCTGTTTTTGCTTGATATTGTCTTTTTCAAACAACACATACTTATAAGTATATAACAAACATGGTATCGTTATGAATGTTACTATACTCGAACAAATGAGAATTTGTTATAGTATAAAGATTTTCCACACTGAACTCGTCGTATTTCTTTGTGGCTACGCACCGATTGGTTTGAGAGACCATTGACTAAATTGTAAACTATAATCGTTATATTTTTTCGATATGCAATCGCTTTCTGACACTTATTTAGAATTTGACACGATCATCGCACGAAAGTGTGCGGTGCACTGCTACGGATAGACAACTCATTGAACTCATCGTGCCGAAATATGACAAAGCGCTTGCGCCGATTTTCAGAAGAGTTTGATGAACTGGTAAAAGTACTTTGAGAGGGGTGTATATTCAATCGATGTAATTGGTTGTCGAGGGTTTTTATTATTCGATATTTGAGAGAACATCGCATGTCATGAGGAGTATAAAGTTATGGAAGTGTATTAAAAATTCTTTATTTTAGCAGATTTTTTAAATTTGATAATGTATCTTAACTTTTTTTATATTGATTAACGAGATAAATTAATTAAGTTGATAAATCCGATAAAAATTAGAGTATTTTGAAATATGGAAAATATTATAAATAGAAATATTGAAATAAAAAAAATATAGGAATGAATTATACAATTTCGAACAACAATTGGCTCTATTTACTTTGAAATTTATATTGAATGGTACAATTGGATGATTAACTAAGCCCGCCATAGGCGAGTTAATATCGATTGTATCAGTGTCTTGTTTGGGAGATTATGAAAGTACACACCAATGTGAAATACATTTCAAGACACTATGAGGTCGGTTTAGTTATTCAAGCGCACCAATTACAGCGCCGATTCCTAATTGCCCTAATTCACTTATTATTTTTTAATTTATTATGAAGTTAGTTCTACTTTATCCCTGACAAATCACAGTTTGAGAGTCTGATTTTGAGTTTGTTACCATTTGTGTGCTTCAGTAACTTTAATCGCTTTTCTTTATCATTTCGTTTAGAGCTCTTTATTAAAAAAAATCATTTTAACATACCATATTAACTACTAACTATATTGTGTATGTATCTTTATAAAGACACATATATTATTATACACATATTTATACCAAGAGATACGATGTTCACATGTCAAGTGTATATTTATATTTCGGAAGAGTGAGAGCAAAAAAGTACAAGGGTGCTTTTTGCATGACATTGTGAGAATCGCACAAAAAGTGCGGGCCTTAATTATTAACCTTCAATACCCGTTTTGACCGGATATAACCTTTTTCGCTTATTTATGTTGAACGTTTCTCGGTCGATTTTCACTTACCAATGTTTGCAGTTTACGATGTTAATGTTCGTACAATATTATATTTGAATATATCACAAAAGTATTTAATAACCTGTAACAATATAAAATGTTTATTGTATATATAATATAAATTGTTATATATTTTAAGAATGGTAAATATATTTATAAGTCAAACGCAAAGATACAAAATTGATTATTTTTTATGAGGTTATTTGTTAATTATCCTAATTATAAAATATAAAAGAAATATCGACGCCTGAGCCGTAGAAGGTGCTATATCAAGAAAAACAAAAGGTTTGTTGGTGTCGCATACTCCAACACGTTCCAATATGCTCCTACCATAGCTTTTATTCCAATGCGCTTGATAGAGTGAATAGGAGCTATGGTAGGAGCATGTTGGGGCATGTTGGATCTTGCAACGCGAACAAACCTAAAGAAAGGTCTATATCAAGAAATGAATGAAAAGCGGTCTATTTCGCATAAGGCATGAAGATCAGTCTATATCTGAAACCGCATACGGTTTATATCGAGAAGAACGGTTCAAGTTGCATGAAATTAAAGAAGAGGTTATGTAGCGCAATATATTTTCTTCTTATAAATTTTATAGCGGTATGACTGAGAACAGAAATCGTCTTGATTTTTAATTCTGTTCCTAGCACTCATTTATTCATATATTATTTAATTTTCCGTAACTAAATTTGTGTAATTTATGAGAAGTGAATATTGTGCGCTATATAGATCCTTCTTTAATTTCATATGACTTGAACCATTCTTCTCGCTTTCTCGATATAAACCATGCTTCGTATACGTTCCGATATTCATGCGATAGACCGATCTTCATGCCTTATGCGAAATAGACCATTTTCATTCATTTCTTGACATAGACTTTCTTCATGTTTTTTTTTCGATAGCACCGTCTACGGCTCAGGCGTCGATATATACATAGTGTTTTCTAGAAACGTTTTTCTGGAAATACATGCATTAATACATCTTACACCGCCGAAAATTGCGATAGACAATTAAAAAATAATGTTTTTGCAATAATCTTTATTACTTCACCTTGCAATTATTAAAATAAGACCAAGTACAGTTTTGTGATGTTGATTATACCTCCAATTGATCATACCACCAATTGATCATATACACGGAGAAAATTTTATATTTAACATTACTATAATGTAATAGAAGCAGTAAACCATGTAATTATAAGTTTAAATGCTACAGCCATTTTTTTAAAAACAATAATATAACGTATTTTACATTTTTTCATAGTAAAAATTTTTTATTACAAAATCAAAACTTGTTGAATAAAAGTTAGTATTGTAAAGATAATAAAAAATATATACCTAGCAAATTTTGTTTGCGTGCCATAGTAAAAATTAACTCTTTCCATGGCTTAAGCACTTGTTTAACAAAAATTACTTCATTTATGTGATAAAATTAATATTATCATAGTAAAAGTTATGTCGGAACATTGTTGTGAGGATCCATCTGAAAATATAAGACATAGTAAAATGTAATTTAAAATTGTATTGAAACTTAATATAAAATTTTCTCTGTGTATGTATAATATTTCCCCCATACTTACACCAGCAAATCGGTATAAAATTAAAATTTTTAAATGTGTATTTAAAATTTTTTATAATGAATAAAATTTGTTAAATATTAAAAAATTTAAATAATATACAAAATATAAATTCAAATACTAAGCTTTGTTAAAAGTAAAACAATTCTATTTTTAATATTTATGTATAATAATATAATATCGTATCTTTTTTATAAAGTTAAATAAAAATTCATTGACTTATCCAAATATAAACATTCTGTTTTCAATATACTTGTGTGGTGTTCTATGATAACCTCTTTAATATAAAAATATTGAAATTTATCAATAAGTTTAAATTAATAGAATGTTTTTTTTGTTACATGAAAATCTTCCCAAGTTTAAAAGTTATAATGATTATCTTTATCTTTATATAAAAACTTAATTAATTATTTACCATAAATCTATTTTTTCAATAATATGATATTTGAATGTGTATATATACAGAAATTATTAATGCCAAGTCATAATTTTTTAAATATATTTTCAACATATCTTAGTTAATTGAGCAGGTACTTATCGTACATCACATCAGTTTCACAAGAGAGAGTTATAATAAGTTGCATGCCTGCTATACAACTGAAATATACATAACAATACTCATTATTATTAGATATAACGTGGCGAAGTTTTCTTTCGATAAAGGATGTATACATACAAGTAAAACGAAAATATTTACGTTTATATGTCAGTAAAGACACATCTGTTTTAATAATTTAAAAAATTAATTAATTAACACAAAAATGGAAATAGTTTTGTAGCTCGAAGAATAAATTAAATGTAAATAAATTGTCAAGTGAACCTCCGCAGTTATTGTTGCATAAATTATGTATTTGTAAAGCGATAAGGTATAATTCGCAAACAATTATTGGAATTTACTTACCACCGAAGTTAACTGCAAACGTTCCGATTTTGATTGAGTTCGCCTCAGAGCAGAAATTAAATGTAAACTACGAATTTGGTAGTTTGTACATGATTTCCGCACTGACAACGAGGACTCAAATATTTTTCATATTGTTAAAAATGATAAATATATAATTGAGATGAATATAAAAATTAGTACCTTTAAATATAGTACCTTTAAAGATTATAATAACAAGCATAAAGAGAGGATCATAAAAAATTGTAGTGTACATCTTTGAAAATAATTTAATAGCTTATAATCTTGATTTTGATATTATCGTCGATTTTTTTATTAAACCTTTTCTTTAGAATATGATAATTTGTTCTATATAAAATATATATCTTTCATATTTCTTAACTTATGTTTCACACAATCATTTTTCACATAGTCATTGTTCGCAAGAGATTTAAATAAGCTATGGAAGTTTTAATTACCTAGAACAACAACATGCTGGTTTCTACACAATACAAAAACAATATATATTATACAAATTATATTAAAATTTGAAATTTTTAATCATATACTCGCATATAATTGAATGTATTGAATGGATGTTTTAAAGATAATGGATAATCCAATTCATATAAAATGATTATCATTTGCAATCAATGAAATATAAGGAGATGTAACTTATTAATTTTTTATTAACAAGATAAAGGAAAATACATCTGCATACTTACATCGCCAAAAGTTGCAATAGATAAATGGAACAACTTTCCTGCAGTGATCTTAATCACATTACTCGATCGAGCAATAACCAAAATGAGGTCACGTGCAGTCTTGTGATGTAGATTATACCAATCAGTCATGTATGCCACTTCCCCAACATATTTGCACTAATAAGTTGATATAAATATTGTTTAATATGTTGATATAAATTAACAATTATATTGTATAATATAAAATGTTAAAATTTGAAATTTTTATGAATAATGAAGAGAATCTGATAATTTGGATTTACACGATATTAAAGAAAAATATTCAATTTTGTTAAAAGCAAGGCAGTTTTATTGTAGAATTTTTTCTCTATCAATATAAAAATATTATATTTTACTCTTTTCTAAAAAGTATTGGCTGCATTTAAAAAACAAAGCAGCTCAATGAGCGCTCAGCGTGTCTTTATTATGATTAATTCCTACATTTAAATTCAGTGAAAAATTAAAACCAACGAACGCCCATGTTCAGAAGAACGTTCATTTTGCAACACTTTTCTGCGCGCGAAATATACGAGTGCATTAAAATCTACAGGAATAGTTATATCCCAGCAAAGAAAACTTCCAATACATGCAAAATACATATTCTGCTTAATGCGGTTATTGACTAATTAATAAATTTAAAATTAGTTATAAATATATGTCAAAATCTGACATTTCAGTATTTTTTAATTCTCAACATATTACCTGTTCTGTGATAATCTCTCCGATGTAGCAAAATATAAAAATATTGAAACCCATCGATAACCATACAATAAAGTAAGATGTTAGTTTTGCTGTATCGAGCGTTTCCCAAGCCTAAAAATTAAAATATAAACTTATCTATATCGTATAATTTATTGTTTTCAATATATATTTTCTGATAGAAAAGAACAGTTTGGTTTTTCATAAATAAATGACATTTATTTATGTCTAATAAGATTTTCATTTTCTTACAGTTCTAGCGTACCATAATAGTATAATATCCAAGTAGGCACATACTTATCGTGCATCCCATTAATTCCGCAAGAGAAACTTTATGCATAATACTTTCCACACGTGATATAAAACTGAAATGTATAAATGTAACACAGAAGAATTCATTTACAAATAAGTAATTATTTGCACATTGAAACGATGTTTTTCGTGAACACAATGATAACAGATTTTTTATCTCTCTCTCTCACTTAGAAAATAAAAATAAATTTATCTTAATTCTAAATAAAACGACAATATTCATTTTTAAATGACTGATTTAAATTATTTCAATAAATATAAAGAATTCGCTTATAAAGCTCTAAGATATGCATTTTCTAACAAGTATCAGCATGTAAAATACCTCAGTATTCTCAGATGATGTTCCACAATAACGGCCAGTTTTTTTTTAGCTGTATGATTTTTCTTCTCCTGATTCTGAACAAGTTCATGTAACCATATAGACAGCACATTCAGCTGACCACAAGCATGTATCGCGAGGACAGCAGCCAGACTACAAGCACCGACAGTAGAAGAACTCAGTATGAATGTTGACAGAAACTGCAGAACCAACGCGATTTCATTCACAGGGCTAAATCTTGTGTCGATGATCTTGCTATAAACCGGACAGGTCATGGGATACGTCGTAAAAGTTTCGTTGCCAACGATGATAGTTATAGTTTTCAATGCTCTTGTTAAACTGAACAGAATCGTACCGCCTTGCATGATTAATCCACAGATCATAGCGACGGAACGACCGAACTTGGCATGTTGTAGCATCAATTCACGTTCGTCTATTCTTTGTACAAGACTCCAATCTGTCTCCATGTGTCGTATTAGTTTGTGAATATCATCGCTGCGCTTTAACAGCACCCAATAATTTATCATGCCCATAAGCCTGTGAAGCAGTGGTCCAATTACGTTCAATCTTTGCTTAATGTTCACTTTTTCAAATAATACGTATAACAAACACGGTGCCGTTATGGTTGCTATTATACTTGAACAAATGAAAATGTGTAATAATATAAAGATTTTCCACACTGATCTCGCATTTTTTTGTGGCCACGCACCAATTGGCTTGAGAAACCATCGATTAAATTGTAAACTATAATTGTTATATTTTATCGATATCTTGTTTTCTAGCGCGTTTTTAGTATTTGACATGATCGCGACACGAAAGCGTACAGTACACTGCGATGGTTAGACAATTCATCGCCGGTATATGATGAAGCGCTTGCGCCGATCTTCAAAAGAGTTTGATGAACGTTATAACATTACAAAGTTACTTCGAGAGGGGCGTATATTCAATCGATATAATTATTCGTCGAGAGTTTCTATTGTCTAAAGTCTGAGAGAACATCGCATGTCATGAGGAGTATAAGGATAGATTCGTAGAAGTAACATTAGAAGTTCGTTATTTCATCAAATTTTCCTAGTTCGGTAATATATTTTAACTATATTTTTCTTATTAATTAACAGACTAAATCAATTAAATGGTGAAAAAAATTCGCGAAAAAAAGAATATTTTGAAATATAGAAAATATTATAAATGAGTATATGGAAATCAGAAAAATATAGGGGATAAAAAGTAGTATAATTTCGAACGTGAACAATTTTGCTTTTTATACTATTAAAAAAACATATAATTTCAATAAATATAAAAATTATTTCTGTATTTTAATATACAGAAATCAGGAGACACAGTATCTCGGCGCTAAGCCAAGCGCAACATTATAATAACAAGCGTGATAAATATCATTAAAAAATTATAGTGTACGTCTTCGAAATTAATGTAAATTAATTTATAATCTTGAGTTACTCATAATCTTGAGTTTTATATAATCAATTTTATTTATTACTAAACTTTATTTTCATGATATATTAATTTATCCTACAAGATATATATCTTGCATATTTCTTGTATATTAAAATACAGAAATAATTTTCATATTTATTGAAATTATATGTTTCTTTAATAGTATGAAAAGCAAAATTGTTCACGTTCGAAATTGTACTATTTTATCCTCTATTTTTCTGATTTCCATATACTGCAGATAGACAGTTCATTGTGTTAGAATATGAAGAAGAGCCTACGCCGAAAAGTTTGGTGAACAGCCTAACATTATAAACTTATTTTGAGAGAAGTGTACATTCAATCGATATAATTGTTTGTCGAGAATTTCTATTATCACATATCTGAGAGAACATCGCATGTCATAAGGAGTGTAAGGATAAATTGGTAGAAGTGATATTAAAAGTATTTTAACTTACAATTAGTAAATTTTTTTAGGTTTAATATATATTTCAGCTGTGTTCTTTTATTTATTAATAAGTTATGTAAATTAGATGAAAATTAGAACTTCTTAAAATATAGAAAATATTATAAACGAATATATGAATATCAGAACATTTTATTGCATACACTTTCAATAATAATTTGATGAACCATAATCCTGTGTATATTTAATTATAATTGATTTTATCAAATCTTGATTTAGAGGATATATTTTCTATATCTTGTTTTATATATATTTTCCAAATTTTTAAACCTTATGGTACGTTGTAATGTTCTCATGAAAGATTTAAATATACCTTGAAAGTTTTAATTACCTGTAATATTAGAATGTTTATTTTTATCTATAACATGTAAATATATTTATTTTAAAAATGATAAATGTTTTTAATACAATAGGTAACATAAAATTGATAATTTTTTAATGGGATTATTAAGATTTGTAATTGTAAAGAATTTGTAATTATAAAGAACATATATTATACATATTTATATATTTTTTTTGGCCTTTTTAATATTTATTGGATAAAATATATGCATTACTTACATCGCCAAAAGTTGCAATAAACAATTGAAATAATTTTCCTGCAGTTATTTTCATTACGTTACTTGATCGTGTAATTATTATTATAACGAGACCAAATGCAATTTTGTGATGTAGATTATATCAATCGGTCATATATGCCATTTCCCCAACATGTTTGCACTAGTTAATAAAGTCAAATATATAAATATATTTATATTTATATATTAATTTTTATATACTAATTATTATAAAAATAAATAGTTAATAATTGTTAAGAACAAATTACGCTTTGGTACTGTTGTATAATAACAAAAAAACTCTTATAAAGTTAAATCAAGGTTCATTAAGTTATTGAAACATAAAATATTATTCCATTCTTGATTTATATGTATCTGTTCCATGACAATCTTTCCGGTATAGAAAATATCGAAACGCGTTGATAAATATATATTAACGTGAGTTATTTTTGTTGCATCAAAATTTTCCCGTCTAAAAAGTTATAATAATCAATAACACTTACTTTTATATAAAAACATGATTAATTAGTGTCCGAAATCTATTTTTTCAATAATACATATAACGGCATTTGAATATTCATATATAAGTAATTACTAATGTATTTAATAAAATGTGATTTTTTTTATGTTTAGCATACCATAATTAAATAATATTCAAGTAAGCACATATTTACCCATCAATTCCACAAGAGAGATTTTATTCATAATACTTTCTATACGTGCTATAAAACTGAAATGTACATAATAATACTCATAATCATTAAATGTAAAATAATGAGGTTTCCTTCCGAGAAAGGATGTTTGCATATAAGTAGAACATGAATATTTACGTTTATATAACGGTATTTTTTTTAGTAATTTCAAAAACTTATTAATATTTATTTTACCAATAACGTCTTTTTTTAGACAATATTATTGTATATAAAATGTACGTTGTCTGAAGTGTTCTAATAAATATGTTTTCTATTTACGTACCTCAATACTCGGAGATGATGCTCCACAAGAGTGTCTAGTTTTTGTTCGCTCAATATTCATTATATGATTTCCCTTCTGATTTTCTACAAATTATGTAGCCATGTATATAGCATGTTTAGTTAACCACAGGCGTGCAGTGCGAAAACAGCAGCTAGGCTGCAAGCACTGACAGTAGATAAACTCACTGTAAATGTTGCACAGAAATTGCACAACCAACGTGATTTCATTTACAGAACTGAATCTTATATCGATGATTTTGCTATAAATCGGATATGTCATCGGATGCATCCTAAAAGTCTCATTGCCAACAATGATGGGTATGATTTTTTTAATCGCCCTGGCTATGCTAAATAGGAATGCACCGCCATGCATAATCACCTCACAAATCCCGACGACGAAACGACCTATCTAACTTAGCATATTACTTGGCGATTTTCGATCCTATGATTTTCCAATCGGTCTCCATATGACATATTAATTTACGCATATTGCTACTACGTTTAATAAGCATCCCATAATTTACCGATCACATAACTCTATGAAGTAACGGAGCAATGGCGTTCAGTTTTAATTTGATATCGGCCTCCTTGAATAATACGAATAATGTGCATGGTATCATTAGTAATGCTAGCACGATCACACAAATAAAAATGTGTAATAACATGAGTCTCTTACACACTATGCTTGAACTGTTTATTTGTGGCCAAACATCGATCAGTTTGAAGAACCACCCATTCAATTGAAGACTACAACCATTATAATTTTTGAAGCTAATACTTCTGAACATACATCGAAACATAGGTCGAAACTTTGTCATGATCATATGAACGCATCCGAAGTACTGGTAGTGGACAATGCGGTTACAAGGATTTTATTTGAATAGGCACATGCGCCAACTTCTGACAAAGTTTGGAAAAAGTTCATATTGACGTATTTTTTTCTGAGAGAAACTGCACGTTCGATCAATAACTGTTTACAGTTATTTGTTCTGCCAATTTAACAGGAAGCCGTTATTCAGAAATGTGTTGCGGAAGTAAGTATGAATTTTGTAAAGTATTGAACTTTAATTACTTAATTTTAAGCAAATAATCGAAAAATTCTCGCTAAACTTTTGAAAAATTTAATCGTAAAAAATCTGATGTATCATAAACATTACTTATATTTAGTAGTGTTAATATCTTACCTGGAAAGTATTTCATCTATTCTATATAAAATATGTTGTCCAACTTTCTAATTTGCTACATATTTCTAATTAACACTACATTGCTAATTACAAGTTTTACATCATTGTTCGTAAAAAATTCAAATAAACCATGGAAGTTTTAATTACCTAAAACAGCAAAATTTTTGTTTTTATTAACAATATACGATTTCATGAAATTTTACATTACAACATTTTAGTCAAATATAATTAGCACAATTAAAAGAAATATTAAATAAAATTTAAATTTTATATTTATTAAATCTGAGGTTAGTATCATAAGGAATTTAATTGATATATTACTTACATCACCAAAAGTTGCAATAGAAAGATGAACTAATTTCCCTGCAGTTATTTTGATTACGTTATTTGATCGCATTATTATTAAAATAAGACAAAGGGCTGTTTTGTGCGGTAATTGATACCAATTAATCATGTATACCATGTCCCCAACATTTTTGCACTAATAAATAAATATAAATATTTTTTAATTCATTATAAATATAAATAGGTATCTACATTTCTGCAGAAAGTATCAAAAGCAGCCATTATATAAATATAATTATTTTGTTTCTATATTTCATAAATTTTTTGAATAGTATCCACATATTCTAAAAAAATTATTTTAATCTTGAAAGATGTATTACTTGCTCTGTCAAAATCTCGCCGATATAGCAAAAAATAAATATATTAAAACCCATTGAAGTATATAAAGTAATATATGACAATATTTGTGCTGCATCGAAAGCACCCCAATTCTGAAAAATTAATTTTACAAGTTTATTCAAATAAAATTAATTAAACACACATAAATAATAAAATTTAACAACTCTGTTCTTATTTATACTATATTATTATACTATATTATTATACTATTAATAATTGCATTTGATTCTTTATAATTATAAAAGGTGTATGAAAACAGCTTTTTCAGTAAAATGTTTCTTTTAATCATACCATAATCGAGTAATATCCAAGTAAACACATATTTAGCGTGCAGCCCATCAATATTGCAAGACAAACTTTATGCATAATACTTTCCACACGTGCTATAAAACTGTAATACGTTTGTATAATTACGGAATGTTTAAGCGTGAACTCTTCACTAACAAAATTTTCTTGCAAAAATTTGTCGAACATTACATATTTATATACGTCGTATATTAATGACAATATTTATTTTATTTATAATATTATGAAAAGATTGTATAGAAAGAAAAAATAAATATCAATCTCAAAATTGCCATTTATTAAAGCAAAGTATCATACATCCAAGAAATATAGTTCAATAGTACACTGTCAGAAATATTACCACGAGCTTCCTTTACATGTAAAGGAATGAAGCTCGTGGTTATAAACGAAATTATAAATAATGAATGATTTAACTGAAAATTAAGTTCCAGTAGTTACTTAAATGTAATGAACGTGTACATTAAATTTTATAATTTTCATGAAAAATACATTATAAATATAAATAGGTATCTACATTTCTGCAGAAAGTATCAAAAGCAGCCATTATATAAATATAATTATTTTGTTTCTATATTTCATAAATTTTTTGAATAGTATCCACATATTCTAAAAAAATTATTTTAATCTTGAAAGATGTATTACTTGCTCTGTCAAAATCTCGCCGATATAGCAAAAAATAAATATATTAAAACTCATTCAAATATATAAGGTAATATTAAATTTCATGTACATGTACACAAATTTTCAGTTATAAATACATTAAATTTAATGTAATGCCATGAAATTAAGTTCAAGTTGTGTTAATTAAAAGTACACTGAAAAAAATGCATGTAATTTTACATGGAAATTACATGTATATGACTGGAAAATTATCTAAATATATATTACATAAATATGCTTAGAAATTTACTGGAAATTGTAAATTTCCAATCATATTTAGGCAATTTTCCAGTCATGAACATGTAATTTCCATGTAAAATTACATACATTTTTTTCAGTGTATATTAAATTTCATGAAATTTTTAACAGTGTAGAGTACCTTAATGCTCTCAAGTGATGCTCCACAATAGCAGCCAATTTTTGCTCAACTGAATGATTTCCCTTCTCTTCGTAATCAATTATGAGTTCGTTCAACCACGCATACAATACGTGTAATTGGCCGCAGGCATGCATCGCGAAAACTCCGGCGAGGCTGCAAACACTCACTAATGCGGAACTTACTACAAATGCCGACACGAATTGTATAACCAGCATGATTTCGTTTATAGGGCTGAACCTCGTGTCGAGAATCTTACTGTATGTCGGACATGTCATTGAACGCGTCTTAAAAGTCTCGTTGCCGACCATAATGGTCGTAGTTCTTATTGCTTTTGCGGTACCGAAGAGCAGCTGACCGCCCTGCGTGACCGCCGCACTAATTCCGGCGAGAAAACGTCCGAACTTGGCGTATTGCAGCATCGTTTTACGATCTCCGATTCTATGTATAAGCTGCCAATCCATTTCCATGTGCTGTATACAATTGTGAATGTCGTGGCTGCGCTTGAGCAATGTCCAATAGCTTATCCAACCCATAATCCTATGAAATAATGGCCCAAAGGCGCCTATCTTTGCCGTGATAGTCTGATCCTCCAATATGACGTACAGTATACATGGCACTGTAACAACTGCTATTGTAAGTGAACAAAAGATGATCAGTACTATTGCGGCAATTTTCTCTAATGTATTCGACGTGCTTATGGGCCAAGCGCCTATAGGTTTTAGGCACCATCGGTTAATTTGCAGACTATAATCGTTGATGTGCTTGAAATCAACGTTTCTCAAGTCACGTTTCAAGTTTGTCATGCTCGCGTGAACTAGCTTGGCGCACTGCCAGGGTGGACAGGACAATAGTTCTAGCAAGGATTCTATTTGAATAAGCGCGTGCGCCGACTTCTGAAGTTTGATGAACGTTACATTGTTACTTTTTTATTGAGAGTATCGCGTGCATATCAAATCGATTTTTTTCCTAGCAGATGTTTCGTCTTGTCAGTTTCGCAAGAGGGTCGCATTGGAGAGGAATATGAAAGTACTTTTGTGGCTATACATACAAGTTTTATAAGGTATTGAGTTTTTACTTCTTTAGTTTCAGGAAAATCGTCAGGGATATCATTTTTGCTTTTAAGAATCTTATCGCAGAAAATCCTGTTATATCATAATTATTAGTTTATTTTACATTTCTATCTAAAATAATTTATGTGTGTGTCTTATAACTTGTTGTTTCTCTACGTTTTATACAGTCATTGTTCTCAAAAAATTTAAATATGCCGTGGAAGTTTTTATTATCTGTAATAATAGAATTGCTCGTTTTTATTAATAATAAATGTACAACTGTTAATTATATTGTTAATATTTGCTTCGATACGGCATATATAAAACTAAATAGTCATTACGTAGAATAATTATAACAATACATGCATGAGAGCAAATTATGTTAAAATTTTATTTAACGATATTAATAACTGTACAATAATGTATTACTCACATCGCCAAATGTTGCTATGGATAACCGAAATATTTTTCCTGCCGTTATCTTAATAACATAACTCGATTGCATGAGTATCAAAGTGAGTTTAAGTGCTGTTTTGTGATGCAGTTTATACCAATTGGTCATATATGCTATTTCCCCGATATATTTGCACTAATAAATAAATAAATAAAAATATTTACAATCTTTTTGTGTACAAACATCTAACAATGATAATAAAGAGATATTAAAAAATATTTTAGATATGTGAACACAATTATTTTATATTTTCTTAAATATGATAATAAAATATAAATAATCAAACATTCAATATTTTTATACTTATATAATTACATAACATTATATTATATTTTGTATATACAGTTAAAATAAGAACAGTTTCAAATGTCTAAAAATCTTTTTGATTTTGAGATATTACCTGTTCCGTTAGAACTTCACCAATGTAACAAAATATAAATATATTGAACGTATATGATAAATATACACCCATGTATGAAAATATTTTTATTGCATCGAAATTAGCCCAGTTCTGCAAAATCAATCGATCGTTTTATTTACTGCAGAAAAATAAGATTAATCTATTTTTACAGCATTTGAACTACATCATTCGAAAGCAAAGAAGTTTTATTCATTTTTAGCGTACCATAACAGAGTAATATCCAAGTAAACACATACTCAGCGTGCATCCCATTAATTCTCCTAAACAGGCTTTATGCATAATATTCTCTATTTGTACAACAAAACTAAAACATATCTATGTAGTTATGATGTATTCAAGTAGGATATTTTCTTTTGTAAAACTCACTTTAAATCAGTATTCATGGGTTCAGTGACTTCGACCTTTTCTTCAATTACATTGTTTAGAACAAATTGTAATTTATAAAAATTATATTTATAAAAAATATTTTTTACAACTTTACATACGCTTAAGTTACATAATCTTTTTCCTCGAATTTTGATTTTCGAAATAAAAAATGAATCGTTCAATTACATAAACTTTCAAAGTTAAAAAAGGTACATTAATTTAAAGTACACTAGATTCGAAAATCTAGTTAAGGAAATTTCGGATTTTTCTTTTAATAAATTTCGGAAATTAAATATCTTCGATTAAAGTTAACACCCAATGAAAAGAAACTTATAACACAAATTGTAATCGATATTTAAGATCTAAATGATCTAACAAAAAAACACAATCAAGTGTACTCCTTCCGATTTTCGATTTCATTATCTTTGTTGTCTATATGTTAAAATATAAATTAAAATGAAAGATGGGTATTTTTTAATAAATGAGTTCTTGCACGTTAAAGGAATAGAACTTCATCTTGAGAAAATTCGTTTTTTTTCTTTCTGAGTGAATATGAAACAGTTAAAAATATAAACAAATTTTAAATAAAAGATTAATGATTTCAAGAGTACTTTATATTTTTAATAATAACCTTTTTCTAAGTTCTTTGATAAATAAAATTTTTTATAAAGAATTTTTTTTCATTATTATAAAGTACAATATATCATTACTATAAAATAGAAAATCTTATTTCTGTCGGTATATTTTAGTGTAACCGAAGCTTATTCAAACTGGAAGAGGACACTTGGTTCACGGAGAGAATTTTTTCTTATAGTTTACTCTGAAAATATGGTAGTCGTGGAACAACATTGTATTTTCAAAAATTTTATGTAAGTCTCTCTCTATCTCATTCACTAATAAAACTACAATAAAGTATAAAATAAATTTGATTAATTTTACTGAAGTGCATGGTGCAAATCTTTAAAATATTATATTGTATTACAAATACTATATTTTTAAGATAAATTTTAAGAGAAAATTCTTTCCGTCTTATGTTCCCTTTTAATTTTAAACACAATACCTGAGGACTCTCCAGTGATGGTCCACAATAACAGCAAGTTTCTGTTCTGCTAAATGATATGTCTTTTCCTCAGCAAGCTCTTTTAGCCATTTATGTAACACGTTCAGTTGACCGCAGGCGTGCATCGCGAAAACAGCGGCAAGACTGCATATAGCTACTGTAGAGGAGCTCACTATAAGTGTCGACAACAATTGCACACTCAACAGGATCTCGTTCGTAGGGCTGAATCTCACGTCAACGATTTTGCTGTACGGTGGACACGTTATCGGATACATCTTAAACGTTTCATTACCGATAATAACGGTCGCAGTTTTCACTGCTTTGACCGCGGTGAAAATGATCGCACTACTATGCATAAATATTGCGCAAAATTTGGCTATGAAACGGCCAGTTTGGGCATATCGCAACATAACTTCGCGGTCGTTCATTTTCCGAACGAGTTTCCAGTCCGTCTCCATATGCAGTATGCAATGTTGAATATCTTTATTATGCGTAAGTAATTGCCAGTAATTTATAGATCCCATGATTCTGTGCATCAACGGAACGATAGCATTTATTCTAATACCAAATTTTTCTTTTTCAAAGCATATATATAATGTGCATGGTATCATAATGACTGCCACCACGAATGAAAAAATGAAGATTTGCATTGACACTACAATTTGTTTTATTTTGCTCGCGGTTCTTTGCGGCCAAGCACCGAGCGATATAAGAAACCATCGATTAAATTGTATACTGTAGTCATTGACATTTTCGAAATTTATTAGGATGTGTTTCAGGTCGCTCATGATCGTTTCACAAAAGCGATCTATGTATTACTGCAATAATCGTATAGAGACGTATCTAGAGACATGTTCCAAAATACGCTTGCGCCAACGTTTAGGAAAGTTCGCTCTGTAAAACACGTCGGTAGCGTTGAGAAGAGCGCACGCGTGTCCGATCGATAATCGTTCCTCACACGAAGCCTGTTTGTCAGTTTGACAAAAGACCGCGTTCTGTGAGGAAAGAAGATACTTTTTTGAAAGTGACAACAAATTTTTTCCTTTTCGTCATCTAGCATCGTTTATTGTTTACTAGGTAAAGCATTTGAAACATGATATATTAACACTTAAAAAAAATTTTAAGCATAATGCTCAATATAAATGAATGAAAGGCATTTAAAGTGGAAATTCTCACATATATTTATATTATAATATATAATAGGAAAGCATTAAAAATATATCAGAGGTATAGGTATAGTCTCTGCAAAAAGGGACTAAAAATGAAAATTTATACTTTCCGTATAAAAATAAATAAATAAATATGTACATATGGGTGTATATATATATATATATATATATATACATGTATTGGGTATGGAAATAAGTTTCCGCCCTTTTTAAATGAAAAATATGTATTCAGAATCAGTTTGTCTTGCCTATTGTCCCATTCTGGTCATTTTTATTTCAAAGCTTGGTTCAAATGTATCACTTGTAGTCGATAACGATCGCCAATGATGGATTTCTTCGAATAATGCTTGCAAAACCTGCATCTTCAAATTTTTTCGGTGCACCTTCGCGTTCTTTGTCACATCGAAATCTCCATTGTTGAAGCGACGAAACCATTCTTTACAAGTAGAATTTGATGGAGCATGCTAACCGTAAATATCTACGAGTAAACGATGCGTTTCCGCAGCACTTTTCTTTAAAATGAAATAATGCAGTAAAACTTCCCGCAAATGTTGCTTTTTTGGAATAAATTCCGACATTTTCAACGCAAAAGAATTACTCTTGTTTACGCTTCGAATGAATGCCAACTATTGGGCTCAAAAGTTTGAACACACACCTTTCAAAAACATATATTGCCGTTTTATCAAACACACAAGCAGTGCTACTAACGATATCTCTCTATAATGGGCTGAATTATTTCCATACCTAATAAATATAGATATATATATATATATACACATACTCAAACATGAGACAGTTCAGTAAGGCCAACATTTATATTTGACAATGCAATTTTAAGTTTTGAATAAAATCTCGTTTTATGTTATTTATTTTTCTACAAACATATCTATTTCTTATTGAAATAATTTATAATTCAGTTTCTAAATCGGTGCCACTTTTTTTTTATGTTACTTTCAAATGTAATATACAGAAAAATCTGTCATTCTTTTCATAACTTTTTCATTTCGTAAAAAAATTTATGTATAATCCTCCATTCTATTTCATATTCCTTTATTTTTTAGCGATGAAAAATAAAAATATTGAGAGTATCGCGTGCATATTAAATGGATTTTTTTCCTAGCAGATGTTTCGTCTTGTCAGTTTCGCAAGAGGATCCCATTGGAGAGGAATATGAAAGTACTCTTTTGGCTATGCATACAAGTTTTATAAGATATTGAGTTTTACTTCTTCAATTTCAGGAAAATCGTCAGGGATATTATTTTTGCTTTTAAGAATCTTACCGCA